CCACGTGTCTCTGTTTACATAGCAGCAGATCCCCGCAGAAACGTTTGGGAAAGAAATGTCTCGTTAGAGTTCCTCGGTCCCCGCCCTGGACGCCGGCCAGACTCCGGCCCCTCTGGCCCGCCACGTGCTCGCGCTCCCCAGGGACGAGCCTCCGCACTGTCCTGAGCCGTGCTTCCGCCCAGCTGTTCCTTCCTGCCCAGCACGGCCCACTCTCCAGAGGTGAGCCCAGGTGGCACGCAAGCCTCATCCGCACTCACGTGTCCTTGTAAAATGGGTCAAACCCGAATGAGTTGGGTGAACTCATGCGTAGCAGCACACGGCATGCACGAAACCCCGTTACAGAGCCTCTCTGCCTTCCAGGACCTCGGTCACGCCCGGAGCCAGAGCCTGCCCCCCGAGGCTGGACAGGCAGCCTGATTCTCTAGGGAAAACAGGTCTGCCGAGCACAGTGCCTGCCTCGTGCCCCCGAGAGCAGCATTAGAACAGGCTCTGCTCTGTTATCACGGGCGACAGCAGAGATGTCGCTGTCTGCTCCAGCCACTCCGCTGTCTTCACTGGCCTTGAGCTCCCGTGCGCCCCCACCCCGTTACTGGACACGAGGGGTCTCTCGTGCACGCGCTGCTGCTGTCCTGCAGGGACCAGTTTCCCTTCACGTCTGCCTGGATGGGACCCCGCCTCTCCCCACTCCCAGCCGACCCGGCCCTTTGTCCCACACGCTCGAGAACTCCGAGCGCCTCCTTGTGATCACAATTGTTATTTGTGAAACTGGCTTCGTTCTCTGCTGGACTGCGAGCCCCTTTGTCATCCGTCCCTGTGTCCTGGGGCGACCCAGTCTCGGTGCCTCGTCCCCAGCACTGGTCAGTTTACAGCTGCTCATAGCGAAGCAGCGAGGATGTGAATGCGGTGGAGACAGAGCTCACGGTGGCTTCTGCTTCGCCGTCACTGCCATGACTTTCCAGCATCTGGGCTCCTCGCGCGCTCGTGAGTCATCACCAGCCCAGCTACACGCGCCGCTGGCCCGTGTGTGTGAGCGGGTCCCCGGTCTGAGGAACAGTGTTGTGTCTTTGGAGTCTCATAGCCGTGAGCTTCCACCCCAGCCCTCTCATCAGCTACGAGTCCACGCGTGAGATGCCTTTTCTGGAGCGTCCGGTCCCTCATGGGAATGGCGGAGGGGAAAGCTACTGGCTTTTACGAATATTCTCCGGGTGGAATGAGACAGTGTGTGTGGATCACCAGCCGTGGTACCCGACTCGGGGTCGACTTGTGAGAACTGGCGACTTCCTCTGTCCCTACTCTGGTATTACGGTCGCCGTTGTCAGTAATCATGAATTATCTGAAAGTAAGAATAAGGTAGAAGGGCTTTGCTTATGACTTCCCGTCAATATATATCCAAGAATTAAATTAGGTCCTCGTTATATCGGGATAATGGATTGCAGGCAGGGCCAAAATTAGCAGTCTTACGTTCTAGCTTGGACTCTGCAAAATGTCTCGGTGGCTTTTGGGACCTCCTCCCCCTTTCCGTGGTCG